AAAGTGGGTTGGGACCAAGGAGGAAAGATAAAATAGTAAAGAAAACTCAAAGAAAGCCAAAGGAATGGGATACAGAATAAGACAGACAAACGTTTAAGAAAAAAAAAATAAGGTAGGGGAGAATTCATTTAGCCAGTAAAATATAAAAAGGGAAAGAACATCCAAAAACGGGAAACTACATCTGTTTTTGGACCTTCCCTTTATTTTCATTGCTCCTTCAAATCAGCCTGGTTATTCCAGACAATATGTAGTGGCTGAGGAAACATTTGATTGGTAAAGAGTGGGATAAACGTCACCATTTTGAGATTATGTTACACTACTAACACTGGCGTGCAGTGTAGCATAGGCATACTCGACTTAGCTTTAAAGCAGCTAGGTCAGACCCCACTCGCAATCTGTCCATGGCAGCACAGAGCTTGGCACGAGCTATGAAGACAGACTATGCAGCAGAGCAAGAACTCAGGCACTTAAACCATACTGAGCCTTATACTGCTGGCACTGCACTGCTAGCAGTAGCTTGAAGTGACTCAATCTAACTTCAAAGGCAGCTACTCTGCAGTTGCAGTAGTTCGAATACCATCCTGAATAACCAGCGGTCATCAGGAAGCCTCACTTGGAATGACACAAATATCCCAATTGCAAAGAAACTCTCAGGCATTTATCTGCTGCACTTACACACACATACAAAACTTAATCACAAGTTCACAAGAACAAACAGATATAAGCTGGCATGAAAAAGTTCAAATCAGAAATTAAATGATAGCTCTTAAACATTAGAAATAGGATGTTCCTGGAAAGCTTTTCAGCAGCAACAGCAGTTATAAAAGAAACCTAATTGCTGCTAAGATGTTTTTGAAACAGATTATATAAAATAATACAGGCAATAACAGGGAAATAGACTTTTATTAGGAAGTTCTTCTCTATCCCATACTCCTAAATCTAAATTTTTTCTCTTTTGAATAAGCTTCACTCTTCCCTAGGAGAGCCTTTGAAGCAGAAGGGCACCACTAGCATCCGGTCTCAAGGAATGCATGTTATTATTCAGGATTTTCCTTCATAATTCCAAAACACGGGGTTTTATTATCCATCTCCTACCTGTCTTCGTAAGCTTGAGGACTGCACTGGCGCATTCTCCTCAAACTTGGCCAGTAGCTGGGTTGCCATAGACTTGACTTTGTTCTGATTCCCAATGGCAGCATCAATTCTCCTTTCTGTCAGGGCACTCACCAGCGTGGGCCTTTCTTCTCTGTAGCTTCGCGGGATGTCCTCCTAACAATCAGCAATATCAAAATTTAACAAGATGCAACCGGATCACCTTTTCCTCTCTGCCCCTCTGCCCTGATAGGTTTCTAACATTGTAGAAAACAAACCTATTAGTCTGCACTTGAAAGCTCACATTTTAATTTCCTTTGGCATGTCATCAAAAGTTCTGTTTAACTTTACTTATCTTTTCAACCTTATTTGATACACTTACCTATCAAAGAGACCACAGCTGAAACACTCCCATGAATCCACTGACACAAAGCAAAGGCCTATCTTCAAACCTTCACTGACAACTCAAAGCACTAAATTTTAACTCACTTGTACCTATTTGGCTATAAACATTTCAAGTGAAGGACTGTCTCATAGGGCATACTAGAAATGTATGCTTTTTGCACTAATTAAGGCTAAAGTTCAAGTATGAATGAAAATTCTGACTATACTGCATGACTTTACTAAATAAAAGTTTTATTCTTGGTGTCCTCATCAAATCAAAGTAAACTGCAGTAAAAATAGAATATGAGGGAACTGCAACATTTTGTTTGTGGTGTACTATTCTTTCATAAGCACCAGTAAAATATTTGCACTATAGCTATGACAAAGCATAACCTCTAAAGAATAATTAATTTTTATCTAAAAAAAAAAAAAAAAAAAACTTTATAAAAACTTTGTCTGTATATAA